AGGGGGGTAGGTGCTGAGCTTTGTTGTTCAAGACATACCCCTCGTCGCGGGTCATTGGGGGTGCCTGTCACGCTGCGTGTCATGCACGAGAACCATGACTTTACCCCTTGAAATATTGAAAGAGCTCGGCCAGCTGTCAAGACTAAAAGGAGGTGTAATTCTTGATCCACACTTGGATGCTATCAAAGAACATGTCATTGCTGGCAACTGCCTACGAAGTCAGACTTGGAGGCCATCGAGTCGACGCGGGGGCGACGAAAGCTTTCCGACACCCCTTCCTTCGTCGCACCCACCGGTTTTCGAATTCATGCGTCTAAACCCTCTTCTCTTGACAGTTCGTTGCTGCATGTGGAGTACTTGTGAAACTGAGCATGGGCTGATTTGGTGAGCTGATCACTCGGCCGTCTCAGGATCGTACCCGCCACCTTTGTGCATTTCGAGCTACGTGTAGACCAAAGTGCTCGCCGCATGAATGCCGTTGGACAAGCGCACTGGAGATGCGGGTGCGGTGGTAGGTTGGTGGGCTTTGCTTGAGGGGAGCGCGCCGTAGAGCAGGCAGGAGGTATGGCATTCGAAGAGCAGGGCGCAATGAAGTAGATAGAGCGGGGAGGACAATCACGCCGAAGGTGACCCTTGTGGACCTCTAACTGGTTCAACGTGTTTGCTCAGATGGGTCATTATTTCAGGCGATACCACGCCTGTATTTAACTCCACCCATCGTGATCTGCGGTACGTCGATTCCAGAGGTCTCTGTTGAGCGACGGACGTTCTATTATAATGGGCTGTGTTACGCGTATGAACACGCTGCTCTCAAGTGTCAGGCTGAATCCACCCAGAAAAAAGTGACGTCTCTGAATGGGGCCCTCGGCGTAGAAATAAAAACAAAAACCCCGTATATCATACGGACATGCCTGCTCGAAATAAGAACTTTGAAAGAAGAAAAGGTGCTCAATTTGAGGCAGCCAAAAAGCATCGAGCCTTGGCCAATATAAGCGGTTCTTGAGTGCCGGTACCATCTGTAGCGTTGCTGTGCCCGCTCATGCATTTCTGGATGGTGCACCTTACAAACCTTTGCCGGGCAGCATTTCGAGCAACGATTCTGGGTGTATATGTGTGTTATCATCTCGTGGTCGGGGATGCATCCATGGAAGTTTCACCTCCTCTTGATGGGACCCCGTGCAATTTTAGGCGCAAGGCCAAACGACGAACACGGGGCATCACAAGAGCGGATTTGGAGGAAAAGTGGCAAGCCAAGGTGGCTGAGCTGAGCGGAGCCGGAACGCCGGTAGCCGCCCCAGAAGCGGCAATATCCGGTGCGATCTTGATCAGGTATGTTCAATCGGCTGTGCGATTTTGGGTTGGCTTTGTGCATGGTTGCCTACGAGTACCAGCTGTTGGTCGTCCTGGCTTGAATGAATCCGAAATACATACGATGTTAATGTGGCTTACCATCAGGTGCACACGCCAGGAAAGATGTTCACATTGAATAGACTATGGTCCATGCACAGCAATTCGTCCATTCACGTTTTGTGCGATAACTTGTTATTACAGAAAAAAATTTGAAGCGCGAAACAACGACATTCGTAATCCCTTCGTCAAGCTACGGCAATAGCTGCAGAGTGTTTTTCTTTTTGGGCAAAGTGATCTACGGAGCCCCCTAGACGACCGTTACCCCCATTTAACTGTGCATAGCCCCCTAGATCACCACAGTGCCTTCCATTTTCCATTGCGGCGCCCTCTACGTCACCACGTTCCCCCATTTTCCACTGTAGAGCCCCCTACATCACCACAATGCCCCCCATTTTACGCCTCGGTACCCCCATTTTACGCCGTTACCCCGATTTGACGCCACGGAGTCCCCTTTCTAGTATCCCCGCTTCTACACAAAGTCACAAACCGATCGCGCATAGTAAATACAATAAATGCAACATGTGCAGTATATTCGTATGCCCATGTTGCTGCACCGGCTTCGGCTTTTCTTAGAAGCCGCCCAGCCATCGGCTCCGCGACTGCCGATATTCTTTTTCTTAGGCCGTCCCTATGGGTTCCCCGTGGTGTTTGCGTGCTTGCTTTGTGTTCTTCAGGCTGCCGCGTGTGATGTGCGGTGCATCGCCTTACAGACAAAAATCACTCATGATGCGCCCAACATGATGTCGAATATCTCGGGAACCGGATTTGCCCGGCCAAAACCAAAAACACCCATCTTGAGACTGATCGTTTGCTGCTGTTTGTTTTGAAGTCGGTCGGTTGGTTGTTGGGCTGTAAACGAGTCAAGTTGACCCCCTAGATCCAGCTCTTTTCTCATATCTCCTTCAATTTCGAGAATTATGAAATAAAAGTAAAACCCCAAGTGCCAAGTTCCAAGATGTGTCCAAAATCCGTTGAGTTTTTCGGCATCGACAATAAACACCACCCTCTTGTAAACGAATTAAGTGTTTTCCGGTTTTCGGGGATGAAAGTGAAGGAAAACAAACAAACAAGAGCTCTCCGTCACGCCATGCGCCTGGGAACAGGGCGGTTGCGGGTACTTTCAGATTTCGGAACAACCACCTGTGTGCAGAGAAAAGTTGTCATTCGTGCTGGGGAAATATTGGATTGATTGTTGTGCACGGACTATAGAGCCGTTTTCAGCCACTAGAGCAAGTGCATATTTAATCTCTGCTCTGCGTCCCATTTGCTGTCGGGTCCGGTTTTTGATTGCACAATGTCTCTGTGTGCAGGAAGTGGGAGGGAGGGCTCGTGGAATACGGCAACTACGTCTTCCTCGACGTCGAGTGGTTTGCCACAGTTCTGGACCCTTTGTTTAGTCACAGGCGAGATTCATACGGCGACATCGATCTGGGTGGTATTCGGGTGACCAACATTGCAAGCTTGCGCCGGCTGGACAACGAACATGTTTTCGAGCCGCAACTCGCTGAGGAGCTGTGGAGTCGAGAGCTCGCACCACACCTTCTCCTGGCGTTGAAGAGTGCAGGGCTCACGTTTCCCTTACCGAACGACCCCAATGGGGGCCTGGTGATCCTTCTGCGCATGGACACAAAGTCCCCACCAGAGTATAGTATCAGGCGCGAGGAAGCAAACCAAGCGAGGAAGTACGACCTAACGCTTACAGTGGCATGCTGGTTCAGTCTAGGTGTGCCCCCTGGTTTTGTCGAGCGTCTCCTAGCTCGGTGCTGCCGCCTGGGCGTTCCGTACCCCTTCTGGCGATACGGGGCGCTGGTTGTGGGGAACGGTGCGGAAGAAGGGTTGTTCTCGCTGAGTTTAGACTACTCTGAGCACGACAACATGCTGAAAGTGGAGGTTCTCGGAGGAGGTGGGGAGGTCCATGCGTGGGCGGCCCTGTCGAAAGTTCTCTCGGTTATGATCAAGATGCTCTCGGAGTTCCCTGGTTTACCGTGCGAGCCGATCTTTTTCTGCCCACAGCACAAGACCAAGGGCATGCCGGTCAGGACGACAGATGTAAGCGCCCGACTTCATTGCTCAGCAGTTTTTTTTTATTTGATTTGTTGGATGGTCGTTTGCATAGCTCCATCGTCAACAAAGTGGCCTTTGCAGCAAGCGTCACAAATGTCTAAAACATTGCTGCTGGTCAATCAGCACGGTGGCTGCCGCTATCCGCGGTTTTGTTTTTTCCTCTTCCTTGCTTCAGTTCATTCAAGTTTTAGACGAGTGTTCGGGTACCACAGAAGCTAGGATATTTGCCACGTGCTAAGATGCGCACTTCATGGACACACCCGTGCGCGCTCTCATGTTTGCAGGCACCGGCTGGATCTGGCCTGGTCGAGGAGAGCTACTTTTGTCCACTCTGCCAGGACCGTAAGGCGGGCATTGACCTTCTGGCAGCTGCTCTTCAGGTTGTGGGATTCTCGGACGAGGAGTTCTTCGACGAACCGCTCCGTCGGGAGTTTGCCGAGAATGCAGAGAGGGTGACTCGTCAGGGTTGTGCTTCACAGCATGGAAGCGACTCCGAGGTGGGGTACCTTGCACCACATGCAGTTGGCACAATGCAGGCGATGAACCGGTCTACACAGACGGGCCTTCCACGGTCGTATGAAGGCCTTCGTCCACGCCATGATGTGGTTTGACCTGTACGCATTGAAAGCGTCGTGTCGGACTGCTCAGGCCTCGGGAATTTTGTTTTGCTCGTCTCGCAACTCAATTGTTGTTTTCATTCAGGGCGGGGTTTCTGGTTCGGCCTCTTCCGACATCAGTCCGAGCAGCCAAGCACCTGCATCGACCAGGTCGAGCAACCAAGCACCTACACGGAGGAGTTCGAGTGGCCAGGTAGTTCAAAGTTGTCACAGTATTAGCCAGGGTACATGCTCAAGTTGCGACCGATATGCCGAAACCTGACTTAATAGTCTAATGGCTGACAAATCTAACGGCTTGATTCGGCTTCGAACGACCTGTTTGGTGTATGTAGAAATTCAAAAGCATGGCGGAAATTGAGCCAAAGCTTGATAGTCCGCGTTCCACGGTCTCCACAGTTGCATCGGCTTCACTGTCATGTTTCTTGTTGATTCTAGAGCATTGCGTTGTGTCTCTTGGGTTGCTGTACTCTCCCGAAATGTGTGTTTCGCTCCAGTACCTCACAACGGTTGAATTTCCTGTCGAAAGCAAATCGAACGGTACCGACAACCAACGTCCGCTGTACACCTCCTTGGCGTGAACGGACCATGACAAACGTAAACTCCATTCCGTTATTGGCATGATGTACAGGTTTCGGGGACGCCGTGGTATCAGGACGTGAAGACGTTCGTTGGCGCAGCCAGCGTGGCGTGCCTCACTGTCTTCGGGGTATTCGCCTCCAAGGAAGATGAGGACCCTCGTCTGTGGGGGGTGTTCCTCGGCGTTGGCATGACATTACTTGGCGTAGAGTTTTTGTTGATTGCCAGAGAGCACAAGCTTTTGTGCTGCAAACCAAGGGAGGACGCGGCGAGTGCTGTGTAGACCCCGTTCTTGTCCGAACAAGGGCTACGTAACGTGTTGGCAGAGGCAGGGGGCTTTGGAATTTTTCCCTTGCTCAGGGTACGGAGGGAGCTCTTGTGCGGTTGTGGGAGGAGTCGAGTTACGTTCAACGGCATTTGGTGTGACCACTCAGAGTGGAACTTGTTAAACAAGCGTCGCGCGTGCACCTGGTGGTTCAGAGACAATCAGACACTTTTTTATGTGGGGGGAACTCTCGGGTTGAGTTGGTGAGGAGGCACTCCTGCTAACCCCTCGATGAAAGCGCCGAACCATTGCAATTCGCCCTTTCTCACCATCTCAAGACAATTCACCCGTCACTCTTGCCGCGTTCGAGACAACCGACAACGTGACCGCGGGTGGGACTACAACAACTTCGTTGCGAACAGTCACCTGTATACTCCATTTGCGGGCGCTGGAACTCTTGACACTGCTGTACAACGGCTTTCACAAGTGCATCAAAACGACAATCTCCGAGCAGACGAGACGTGAGGGGGGGCATTCAAGAATGGACTCGCACGTCTGATCGCATGAACTATGTTAACAAATTGCACTGACCACCGAACACCTGCTGCACCGGAGCAGAGTGGGCTGACCACGTGCTGGCTTTCGAAAGATGCCCCACGAATTCCTTTTTTTCAATGTGACCCTGGGAAGCCAACTGTTCTGGGAGACCCTAGCAGATGAACTTGAACACAACCACGAAAAAGCAGAATCCACTCCCTGGCTGAGTCGACGGCGGGGGCTTGCGCAAATAACAAACAAGTTTTACACAAAACTCATATCAAGCCGGTGATCGCTTGCGCCGCCCTGCCGACGCCTGCTACTGCTATACCGGTCCAGACACAAGCCCCAGGAAGTCGTCTTTAATGCTGCCCACCGCTTTCTGTTGCCGAGGGCGTACGCGCGCACAAGCAAGAAAAAATATCACGTCAGTTGAGGGTGTGAAGGGAAGACGTGGGAATAAGGAGGTGGTAGCGGGCACGCTGCCGACGGACACCGACTACAGCGTCGTGTTGGACCAGCGACGGGATCAACGCGCCGCTCCGCAAGTGCTTCACACAGGAGCTACACCACCGCGAAAAATCCTGAAGCTCGATGAACGGAAATTGCCTCATCCGGCCCTAGCTGATTAAGCGTTTGCCCTTCGAGGCGGAAAAGGCACACGCCCAAGACATCCCGTCGAGAGCAAGATGGTTTCCAGATACCGAAGACGCTCCTCTTGACATCGGCGCAGGCGGTTACTATAGACCACGGGACATGAAGCCGTGCCCTCGCCGAAAACCCAAGCTTCGTGAGATTACGATTGCCCGAATACAGACACGCATACGCCTCGAAAGCAAACCAAGCCCCCGGATTATCTCACCAACTCTGCCCCCACGGTGACCCCGATGATGCGCAGCCGTACCCCGCAGCCGGACTTGATCTCCGTATCCGAATCTTCGGAGGATACCCACATGTCTCCAACTGGATCGTAACCCCCCGCGATGTCGTCCGGCATGCCCTGAGGGAAAAACGAAGCCCGGAGACGGCCGTGCCGGGGTCGCACGTAGGAGGGGAAAATTTGAGGGAAAAACGAAGCCCGGAGCCGGCCGTGCCGGGGTCGCACGTAGGAGGGGAAAATTCAGAGGTCGACAAAAAGGAGCATGGCCAGAGGTCGACAGAAGCGGGAATAGACAGAGGTCGACACAGTGGGGTACAGTCAGAGGTCGACAAGAGGATGTATCGCCAGTGGTCGAACAAGAGGATGTATCGCCAGAGGTCGAACAAGAGGATGTATCGCCAGAGGTCGAACAAGCAGGGTACAGCCAGGGTGGCCCCACATGGAAACGAAGTCTGGGGCAACGAGATGGTATAGAGTAGACTAGACCAGTCTCTCGGGACTGGCCGTTGGTCGGCCTGCCTACGTGTGCGCCTCCGGAGGCCACCGCGGTCTGCACTACAGGAACAACACAATCGCGGTGCCAAACACCAAGTACAACCGTACGTCGGCGTTTCGAACGCAAACACGACTTGCGCACGTGTTTCCTAAAAGATTGTGGGATTCTCGTGGCATCGTGGCCCGCACGTTACTTTGCCCGTGACCCGTGTTTACGTCATCAGTCTGCCAACAGGGTTTACGACAGCCATCGCTTTGCCCACAGGTCAAAGCAGAATGGAACAAGGAAAGGGGCTGAGTCGCAGAGGCCAGCACGTAAATGCGAATGGAAAGGCAACAATGTTTGGGCCGCGGACACAGCATCAACGTCAGCGACCACAGCAGCAACAAAAACAACAACAACAACAGCAACAGGACCAGCACCAGCAGCACCAGCAGCACCAGCTGCAGCTCTCACCAAGCGCGAGACGAAAACCTCGAGGGGCCCGACTTCTGCGAAGAACCCGAGCTCGGTCACGTGGCTCACGGCGGCATCGAGCACCTCGTTCACGAACGGCCGGAAGCAGATAGCGCGGTAAACTACCAACACGTTCGCGAACCCGGTGTCGAACTCTATCGTGCCCATCTGGATCTGGTCGTCGGATACCTTTGCGAGGTTGACATAAAGATGGCCGTTGGTGTTGAGTGCACGGAGCAACTGATGAAAATACTTTGAGAAGGCACATGCGATAGATGCATATGTACGACCACGGGGAGGACGGGAACTCGGCGTAGCCATGTGGTAAAGAAGAAGTTGGCAATCTGTTGAACAAGACAGTCTGTGTCCAGGGGATGAATAGATGCAGTAATGTCCATGTACGTCATACCCATTTACACCCGTCGTGGGGCCCAGGACACAGGAATCGAGCTTGACACCGACGCTCGCACAACGGAGAGCCAACGATCGCTACACGGCCGAGAGCTCGTGCAGTTTCCGGATTCGCCGACTCCGAACATCATGGGCAAACCGCCGCCCTCAACCGCGTGAGCAAGCCACGAAGCCACCGCACTACTGTAGCCGCAGCACAACACAGTCTGCAGGAGAATCACTATGGTAGGGTGACAAGCGGCTTCCCAGAAGAACAAAAAACGCTCACGTTTGTGACGGTGATGACGAACCCAAGGGACCCCACCGATGTCCCCTCGACCTCTTCGATAAGCTTTCGCCTGGCGATCGAAGTCGGCAAGGAATTGGGGGTGAAGAACCAAGGGGCGTTGATGGGCGAGAACAGAGGCAAACCAAAACAAACTGAACGATGCTTGGAAGATCGGCGAGGTCAAAGAAAAAATCAATACAAACTGATCGTTGGACAAACACCAAGGCCCGAAGGCCACACGCTCCAGTAACCATATGCAGCGGTCACACAGCACGGGTCTTGCTCCGCCTTCACAATCTCCGCAATTAGGGGGGGAAACATGCAGTATCTCAAGCGCAGCGGCGGCACCCATGAAGGCTCCGGATTGGCGTCGCTGTGAAGCAAAAATAAAGAAGAAAGGATTCGATCTCGTCTGGGCGCAGGATAACTTTACAGCGAACGAACGCCGGCTGCCAGTCTTCCAAGTGTCTCGGACATCGCGAAACAAGGATAGCATTACACACGGAATTTATGCACACGACTGTTTCAAGTCCCCAAGAAGAACGAACTAGAGGGGGAACGATTCTCTTGTCGCCATTCCTCACCGAATTGTGTCCTTGAGCTTTGGCCCGAAATCTGACGGCGGGACGAGCATCGGTCGCCGCAGCTCTTTCTGCAGCAGTCTCAGCGTCAGTAAGCGTTGTGGGAGAATCGAGTCAGCAATAAACAACAACAAACACCAACACGGTAGGAGGCGTTGCAGCCGTCAACAGTGGCCCTCACGATGGGTGCTCCAGCCCGTCAAGCGGCGTGCATGCTTCCGTAGCGTAACTGTATTGGCCACGACGTCTGTTCGACAGAGGTGTGTGTGCAGGCGCTTCGTACACCACCAATCACGAAAAACATGCATGGCGCTGCGGGAGGACGAGAGTCCAGCCGCATGCCCCAGATGGGCCATACTCAAAACCGGCGCTACGAATTGTGTTGTTGAGCTCGCCCGCAGCTAATGGGGTGGTGAGCCAACGTTTGTTCCGCGACACAAGATGGAATGTTTTTCTACTAGATTTTGAATCTAAAGTCGGTACGTTGTCGTTCATTGGCAACAAATCTGCAAACATCAATGACCAAGACAAAGGCCGTACATAGGGGGAGAACAACGCCTAAAACAGTTTTCGGATCCGCGGGGCGGGCGACGAAGGTCGTGCAATAGATAGGGGGATAAAAAACGCTTGAACAGTTTTGGGTTCCGCGGGGCCCCCTGCAGCGGGGGACAGCAGTGGAGGAGACTGGAAAGAAGAGTACAGTCTCCAAGTTGGACCGCTATGATATAACGTCAATACAACGAGTGCCCTTCCCGAATACGGTCCGTCGTCGCAAGAAGTGAAGTTTATGAGGAAATAGAACAGGGAGGGGATACGCAGACCCTATCTCTATCCCGAACCCTGACCCAACCTCCCCGATTGCATGCTCTCATCCAATCTTGTTAAATTAGAGAAAAAGGCTGCCAAGGATACTGCGTGATACCCATCCCTTGATGGCGACGTGCTACAGCAGCAGTACTATTGCTGCTGTCCTGCGGCTGCTAATTACTTGCCACGTCCGCTCTGTGTGTGGACGTTGAAAACATCCATGTCGCCCAGAAAGCGCTTTCAGTAGACAAACCAACATCGTTGTTTGTGCGCTGCCTGGCGGTGATGCAAAACAAGCACGCTTCCACGGTGCACGTGACAAGTATACAAGGAGTCCGTCGTGAACGATGATGGGGAGGGCCTCTCAGCGTTGAGCTATGTTATGCGGCCGTATTCTCACAAGGCGACGACGCCTCTCACTGAAGGAATGTGGCGTGTTTTTATGTGCCTGGACCTTGACGACCATAACGTCCGCCGCTACACTCTCTCAAAACATACGTACAGCAGACACAGCGTGAACCATACTGAGAAAGTCAAATTCAACCCAGGTTCACCGCTAGGGGCACCCGCGGATGCTCCACAGCCGTCTCAATCACCATTACCATTGCTCTCTCTCCCCCGACTCACAAGGTAAAACATGCTGCCACCGACGCCGACAAGCACCCCCCCTCCCTAAGATCTGTGCCCGTGGAAGAGAGCACTCCCCTCCTTTCTCCAACAGCCCGCTATGGCGGCCCGCCAAACACTGCTTGCAGCCCACGGGACTGTGAATTGCGGCCGTTGTCCGGATCCTGATCTCCTCTTCGCCTCTCACAAGAATTGTGACGATGGCCTATGCGGTTGATGGTCCCGAAACCCAAAGGCTTTGATTCTCTCTGCTTCTGGCAGTCCTGCTGTGGGAGCTGACAGCAGTGGCGTAGAGCTGGGGATGATGTGGGCGTGCTTCTCGAGGGCGGGAGCGAGGGGTACAAACACCTGGTATATTCCGCGGTACCCATTAATTTGCACTCGCTCGGCCATTGGTCGTGCCCCCTCTGTTCGAAAAGCCGAACTACAGGCCTGACCGAAAGCACTAATGTCTCGTCCGTTGCTGGTCGAACCTCCAGCCAAAAGGCAACGTGCCCAAGGCGAGGGTATCGGAAACGCCGATGGGTCGGGCTTGGCTGAAGAAGACCAAGAATTTCAGCGTTTGGAAGCTGTATCAAATGTCCAGGACGAGCTAAACGCTCTGGAAGAGGAGGAGGCTCAGCAGGTGTGTTTGTTACAGGGTGACAAAGAAGAGCCTTTAGCTGCAGCACGAGGACAAGAGGCCGCCCGTGCTGGCTGCTGATATCACAGCTGATGCTTGCGGCATTTGGTACCGATGTCAGTACGGTGGTCCTCTCACCTGTACCTCGACTGAAAGTGGATCCTGTGCGTGATGAAATGTTTGCCTGTTTCAGGAAGGTCCAGTTTCCTACCGTTCAAGTAGATCTACAAGCACATGCACCGACCTATGGCAGAGGGGCGCCTGCTGTGCCAATGGTCACACTCTAGCACCAACGATGTGGGTCCACGCAACACTCGTTTGCGTCATGGTACCTCTTGCTGCGTGTGTTCAGAGTTTACCGGGTGGTCGGCGGCAGCCTCTCTTCCATGAAAGCAGAACATGGAATATCCCGCACCTCCTCCCGGCCCCTCCCCATTATTAGAAAGTAAACATAACCTCACAGAAAGACTGTAGATACCCGCTCGAGATGTGACCTCAGTCGAAAGGGATGTGGTGAAGTCTTTCGTACGTGGATTATTGTATGATGTGCACTGGCAGGCTGAAGGACACGTTGCCTACCGCGTGCTACAAGCGTGTCACCCACCCCACTCGCAATCCCTTTCGCGTACTGTGATTGTTGTTGTTGTTGTTGTTGTTGTTGTTGTTGTTGTTGTTGTTGTTGTTGTTGTTGTTGTTGTTGTTGTTGTTGTCGTAGTCGTTGTTGTTGCCTTCCGCGGTCACAGCCCAACTACTACCTCGTACAATATACTGCTGTCGTACCCAGATTGGGTGGTACACCTTTTCTAGGAACGCAATAGGGATTTCCGCCGCTCGTTGCTCTCGTATGCATGCCTGCCCGTCTGACCGTGACCGAAGTTTGTGCCCGCCAATCACCTCCCGCGACTTGCCGGTTTGGGTCCGCGGTACTTCAGGTGCTGCTGGTTCACAAGGCGTTTCTGAAGCGCAAGCGTCCGCTGTACATCAAGCGGCAAGAGGCAATCGCGCAAGTGCCGGATTTCTGGCTCAAAGTGGTGAGGTTGTTTTACCATGGTGATATTTAGGTGTAAACATGCATTCCGTTGTGCGCCCCCTAAAAAGAACCCGACAACGGCTTGCGAAGGGACGAACAAGCTGGATCGCCTGGTCGCGGTAGGAAACGAAGGCAGGATGCATCTCAAGCTGCTGGAAACTTGCACTGCTGTTCTCCAGCTACTTTCTTTGCGGCTTGCTGGCGTCCACTGCGGTGCGGGCTTTGTACTGTTGTTTGTTGTGATACGGCTGATCACGAACCCTGTAAAGAATGACATGTAGCGGCACAGCGAAGCGGAGAAAGTTGTAGTTTCCCTTGTTGCCCGTTTTCCCACCCCATCCACCCCAATTGTCCACCGAATACGACCATACCCTTTCGCCTGCCTCTCTTCGTCTACACCTTGTCCTCTTTCCTCCTCTCCCCTCGCCCCACTCCCAAGCTCCTCGCGCACCCTTTGACTCAGCCGTACATATCTGACGGCGATCAGCTCGCGCTATCGTACCTCGAGGCAGTGGCTGTCCACAAAGCTACCTCTACAGCTGCGGCGGTGGCAGCGTCAGGAACAGCAGCGGGAGCGGCGGACGGTGACAAGGGACGGAAATCAGAAGCATCGGAGGAGGAGAAAGAGGAGGTGTCGGAGAGTGTCGGAGGGGAGGGGGAGAAGCTGGACGATGACGACGACGTGGGGTTCCGGGTGACCTTTGTGAGTGAGGCGATACGGCCGGACGTAAGATGGACAAGCCAGTTGCCATCGTATGTGCGGCACGCGTCTTGTTTATCGTCCTCTGTGTGTGTATGTGTGTGTTTTTATTGTTTGCGCCGACCGCGCTTTCCGGCTGACCAATGAAATGACGTCAGTCTCAGTGCGGTTGAAAACACAAAACACTTCTAAATGCGATTAACTGGGATGCCGTGAGGGGGCGGCATGGGAGAGACTAACCTATTCTCCGGATCAAAGACAGAAACGGTAACAAAAGAAAACTGCACACATCTACGAAGGCTGCTACTTTGCACTCGATTCCGTTTTGGAGTGCGTTCACCGTCATCATCCTTCCTTCCAACCCTATTGTTCTCATGGTCGATTTCACAGCAGCTTGTCGACATTTCGCCGCTAGCCCTGCATCGTTTGTGGTGGGGAAGGTCATTTGACTCGAAGCTCTTGCTCTCTTCCACGCCATTATTCCCTCCTTGACTGCTCCTTTTGGTCTCTGTCTTGTCCTCATCCCTTTCCCTCTCCTCTTCCTTCATCGCTGCCAAACGAACTCCCCTCATTGCCATCCTGGTCGTTTCTATCTGCACTACTGTCGAGATACCAACCTACTGGCCGTGGTGGGAACTGGTCAAGAAGTAGCCCATGGCGTTTGAAAACATCACGAGTTCGTACGGATAGGAAACGAGCAAGCTCGAAGGCACACCGTCACCGAATCCTATTGGAATAAAAATCCTTTGGGCGAAGCAAGGCTGTTTCGTCGTTGAAATTACCCTTGCAGAAGGCTTCATATGCCAAGTGGTTGGCGATGGCTACGATAAGTCGATTTGTGCCTTTGCCAAGACCACCTTTCGTTGAAAAAACATCAGTAAGGAGGGTAGATCTAGACGGGTTGAAAGTTCCCGCTCAATGGTTTGCCTTTGCGGCTCGATCTTCGAGGGCGGATCCTGGCTTTTGGATCGACTTGTCGATGCTTCGACCTGCGGATGGGTTGACGATCTGTTACGTCTAGAAGAATGGACTTGGTGCAGAGTTCCTCTTCTTTGTCTCCTGCATGTAATCCTGGGGGAATCACCACATCCATCGTGTAGAGCCCTTTTCCCCTACCAGTGCCTGTCGTGAAAGGGGAAAACTATTCTACTGCAATAGGCATGTGGCATTCGCGTAATGTCTTTATTATCACGCGAACCATCCTGTTGTGCAGGAACGTCGAGGCACCGGTTTTCGCGCGTGTGTGTGTGTCTCTGTCTGTCTGTCTGTCTGTCCTTTAGAAAAGTTAATTTGCCACCCGGTAGTGGCCCCGGACGCGGTCCAACCAATGCAGTTGGACCGTACCCCGATTAACGCCCTCGTAGGTGACCTCATCCTCCCCATGTCTCAATCGCGGACACACTGTCTCCTTGACACACCCATGTACCCCACCCTCCGCCTTCATTCGCTGATCGTCGATCCTGCGTCCGACGCACGCAGACTTTTCGAGAAAACCCGTTCTTCTCCAACTCGACGCTCTGGCGAGAATGGGAGCCCGCTGACGAGAAGGTGGGAACTGCGTCAACGCGTTTGCGCCACAGCAGCCCATTTCTGCGAGAATATGAAAAATATGTGGTGCGGTCGGTCGTTGCTGACGGGGCGGGGGGCGAGCTTAGTGTCCGTCGTGTACATCGCATCTCACCTCCCCCGCGATTGGATCTGTCTCCCTCCCCGGTGCTCTCTGTCTCTCGTGTTTTCCGACGTTGGCTCTACCTGCCCGCATGGTCCCACGGGTCATGATGTAACGCTTGGCGTGACGAACGCCTTGCACGTGTGAGTCATAGGTTTAGTTTTGCTCACGGTCGTGCCGGACTGGACAACGTGAGGCAATGCGGAGATGCGTAGCTCCGGAGAGGGCGACACTGTTTTTTATGTCCTGCTCACAGATGCACACTTGATTAGCGTTTCGCCAACGTTAGCAGCCCGTCAATGACAGCAGTAGGCGTGCCCATTCCTGAGGTGCTAGAGTTTAAAGCATGACGGGCAACAGTGCCACCTACAGGTCAAAAGCAGACATTTCAGTCCCATGTGCGTGCTTTCATCGAATTGTTGCGAGGGTTCTCGCACCTTGGAAATCCCTTATCCCGATTCACACACCCTCTCCCTCTCGTCCTGTCTCTCTCCATTATCCCAGGCGGCGTTTTCGGTGGTGAAGTGGAAGGATACAGACGAGTCCAGGGATCTGCAGTCCTGCCTGCTCTGGAACCTTGACCCTGCCCTGCAAGAGGAGACGCCGTCCTTTTTCTCCGTACGTTTTTTTCTATTTGGTTTTGTTGTTTGTGTTGTTGTTTGTGTTGGTGGTGGTGTTGGTTTGCTGCTGCTGCTTCTGCTGTGCTACACTCATGCTTCCGCAGCTGCTTCCGGTTGTTGCTTTTGTTGTTGGCTGCCACTATTGTTGTTGTTCATCACGTGCGCCTCACTTTGTTTTGTCGTGAAGATTCTGTAGTAGTCTTGTCGACGATGACGCCACTGTGTGGCACACACGTTGTCCGACTTCGTTCCGAACCGTTGCTGCTGCTGCTTTTCTGCGTGCTGCCTCCCTTGTCTGTTCGATTGGGTGGGGCGGTAGATTTTCGGGGACGACATGGAGGATTACGAGCTTGGGGAGGCTCTGAGAGGAGACATCACGGACAACCCGCTCGACATCTACATGCGGGTAAGGAACGGCCGTTGTGTACGACGGCTCACGCCCTCACGGTGCCAGAGAACGAACATGTCGCCGCACAAATGCTCGTGGGGTGCAGATTTTCTTCGGGTTGTTAGTGTAGGGTCGTGTTGCGGTTCAATGACTCGCGCCTGCTGCTCCGGGCACACTTGGTGGTGCATGCACCCCTTAACCTTGCAACGGGCAGTAGCGGACAGTTCGATTTTAGGCGAATAGTACCGGGACGCTTGCTTAGGCCTGAGGTGTTGTTTCGCCACCCCCACCGAGGCGACAGGAAGCAGCAACAGCAGCAGAAAGCAGCAGCAGCAGAAGCACCAGCAGCACCAGCAGTCTTGGCCGTTCCGCCGTCTTGCTCTTGTCACCCCTTAACCCCACCTATTCATTCCGCTACCTGGTACGGTAAACCGTACCAGCACGACTTCGACGCAGAAGCACCAGAGGAGGAAGGGGAAGGCGGAGCCGCGGCGCAACCCGAGGGAGACGGGGAGGGAGGAGAGTATGATGGTGGTGTTAACCAAATTGACGCCGGGTTGGAGGAGGGCGGAGGAGACACGATTGTCGATATTAAGGGTGAAGATCGATCGCGGTTCGAGGAACGGATTGGTGCCGAGGGTTGAAATTTTGACTAGATTCCGGGCGGGATTTCGCAGAGGTTTCGGGGGGGGGGGGGG